AACGCACTTTATCAGTCAATCAACAGTAGTTTGTTAAAGTATATTAGAAACGAAAATTGTGGTAATACATGTTCCGAACAAGACTCTTTTTGATGTAGTAAGTTTAGCGCGTGGAGCAAAGAGCTTTATTATATAGATTTTCGTATGTTAGTTAGTTTAATTTTTTGAATAAAACTTGAAAGTCGCGACATTTTATTTTGACCATTTTTAGTAAACAATGTCCTTATTGTGCATATTTGAGGAGAGATAAAATGATCACTGGAACCAAAGTTTCTGTTGATACCCGTGATGTAACCTATATTTTTAACACCAAATAAAATCAAAGATATTACTTATGTTTATTGGAACTCTCTATATTTGAAGATTGTGTCCCAAAAAAAGTTTGAGTTTAAAAAGGCGCCAAAACTTTTTGTGACATTTTGTACAAATCTGAGAATGGTACTCAGCATTAGGTTAATCTTGTTAGTCTGGAATTAAAGTTAAAAATATAAAATAATGGAAGATAATTCCTCGAGAATTCCACTTCTCCAGCTTTTAGAATTAAAATGAAATACTTATCAATTTAACCAGATAAACTTAATTCAGGGAGATTCAGATAACACGAGAGTTCCAAGCTGACATTGAAAGAGCTTGAATTTTTAAATAGTTGTATTGAGTTTTCAAAACATATTATTGCACGCAAGGTTGAAATGTTAAATGTTTTCAATCCTATCTCCTCTTAATGAAGATCTATTGAGAAAAAAATAAACATCTAATGAATTTCTACTATGTAACCGGATAATTTTTTTTCCCTCATTCTTGTGCGTAAAATGTAGACTAGATGAGCTACGAGGTCACAAAGTCGTACCCAAGATTATAATGCAAGGAAAGTTATTTCAGAGGTGTAAGCATTTTTTTTACCGCAGTCTCTGGTTAGTAATGCAAACACAATACGGATATCGAAGCCTGACATGGGATACATCTTTCAAATAAAAAATCAATGAAATATTCTGGTCATAGGAAACTTTAATGTGAATTATAAAAATTAACAAATGTGATGCTTTTAACCTCCTCAGATACTAAACGAACATCTACTCTTGTTTACAAATTCCGCCCAGAGAGAACTGGTTTCAATATGTATGCAGAGTATGCGCAGCTGCAATTAACTCTCCTTGCATTATAACCTTGGTCGTACCAGTGATCTCGAATGTATGACTTTATCCTTCTGTCTAGTTTGCTGTGCAGTTTTATTACCAGGGGTTGTACATTGTAATAATTTAAATTGAGAAATCATTTAAAATGAATCAGTGCAGAGAATTTTTTTTAATTCAAATTTTACCGATAACCATTTAAATATAATTTTCACAATTTTTATTCTTTAGTCTGTACTTTTGATTTTCGGAAGCATTTTTCTTCTTTTATATGCAATAAGTCCTGATTATCTCTATATTATGGTATCTATTAAAAATTCGCAATTCGCCATTGAAGATATTACTAAAAAAATATATAAAAAGTATGTTTAATATATTCCTTGTATCGTAGATAGAGACCGGTCGACCCATTACATCATTCTCCTGTCCCAAGGTTAGCAGTCTGCAATAATATCAAGTCAAATTAAAGGGAGTGTTCGCGAAAAAATGTAGAGAAATAGCGAATCAATTTGTATCAAATGATAAATTTGTTAGTCCTTTTTATTTCTCTCCGACATGCTTCATAAAGAGAATTTGCTATAAATTCGGACAAACTTATGTCATAAACATCAAATTAAATCATTTTTGTGAACACTCCTATTTAAATTTTTTAGTAACTTTATCGTCTTCATGATGAAAATAAGTTCTGACTTCTCATTGATCATCATTTTAAATCATAATTACTTTTTAGACTGGAGAACTTTAATGGAGATGAAGGTTTGGCAGTTGTTGCAGGTTTCAGAGTAGAGAATTTCTCCCAACCCTGAGCAATCTCCGTCCTCGTGTACTCTAAACTCTGTCCTGCTGGAGTCCAACCCCTCCATAGGGCCTCGGATCTAGGAACATACACTTTAGATCAACCAATGATATGTAACTACTCTGACCTACCTCTAAACTACTCTGCCCGTCCTCAGCTTGAATGTGGGAAACCTTGAGAGCTCCTGTTGCCCCAGAACTTGAAGAGAAATCAATAACTAAAAAGAAATATCATCTTAACAGAAATATCAACTAAACAGAAATATCATCTGAACAGAAATATCAAATAAACAGAAATATCAACTAAACAGAAATATCAACTAAACAGAAATATCAACTAAACAGAAAAACAACTAAACAGAAATATAAACTAAACAGAAATATCAACTAAACAGAAATATCAACTAAACAGAAATATCAACTAATCAGAAATATCAACTAAACAGAAAAACAATTAAACAGAAATATCAACTAAAAAGAAATATCTGCTAAACAGAAATATCAACTGAACAGAAATATCAACTAAACAGAAATATCAACTAAATATAAATATCAATTAAACAGAAATATCAACTAAACAGAAATATCAACTAAACAGAAATATCAACTAAACAGAAAAACAATTAAACAGAAATATCAACTAAACAGAAATATCAACAAAACAGAAATATCAACTAAACAGAAATATCAGCTAAACAGAAATATCAACTAAACAGAAATATCAACTAAACAGAAATATCTACAACTAAACAGAAATATCAACTAAACAGAAATATCAACTAAACAGAAATATCAACAACTAAACAGAAAAAAACAACTAAACAGAAATATCAACTAAACAGAAATATCAACAACTAAACTGAAATATCAAGAAAACAAAAATATTAACTAAATAGAAATATCTCCTAATTAGAAATGTTTACTGAACAGAAATATATACTTGACAGAAATATCAACTGAACAGAAATATCTACTAAATAGAAATAATTACCGAACAGAAATATATACTTGACAGAAATATCAAATAAAGTTTGACAAATTAACTGATGTAGATATTATCTAGCTATATCAGGGATAGGACAAGATATGTACTTCTATTGTTTAATTTTATATCTTTAGTATGAAATAATTGGAAAGAGAGATCTTTCTATACAAAATTTCACATTTTCGTGTAATCGAAAATTTTTGCATTTTTTGCATTTTGTTTGCTCGCGAAAAATTGCAAAAGTTTTGCGAAAATTCATCAAAAAAGACGAAATTTTGGGAAAAAATTACGCATAATTCGCAAAAAAAATATTTCGCTTCGTTTTGCATTTTTCGCTTCATTCAATTTATCGAAAAAATGTGAAATTTCGTGAAAAAGTTTGCGAAACACGTACGAAAAGTTTCGCATTTTTTCGCGAAATTTTTCGTTTCATGGAAACCCTACTTTCAACCCGCATTTGTATTCATAAAAGTTTGGGCTTTCCAAGGTATTTTTGCAAGGAAAGTTATTTCAGAGGTGTACGCTTTTTTTGTACTGCAGTGTACTTTCTTTTGAGCGGAAAAGTAAACACAAGACAGATGTCGAAGCCTGACATGGAATCAATTTTCACAAAAATAATCTATGAAATATTCTGGTCTTAGGAAACTATTATGTGAAGTTTCAAAATTATCAAAATTAAATGTTTTTATCCTCCTCGGATTCTAGACGAACACTGATGCATCTATTCTTGTTTACAAATTCCGCCCAGAGAGAACTGGTTTCAATATGTACGCAGAATATACGCGACCGCAATTAACTTTCCTCGCATTAGTACTTTGGGGCTTTGCATGGTCCGAAAATGTTAAAAATAAAAAAGTAAACATTGTCGCTGTAATACATTTTAAGACCAAGTCGTTGATCATCCCCTGCATGGTATAAATGCAGCTTTTCGCAATTTCTCTTTATCAATATATTTCAGTATATACTCGAAAAACGTTTTGGAAAACTAAAAAAAACTTTTCATAAAATCTCGCAATTTGGCGTGCGATTCAGTAAAAGAATATGCTTTATTATAAAAAAGAGTTAATTTATTACAAATACAATTAATAATCATATTTTAAACTTATAAAATTTAAATTAAAACCATGACTCTACCTAAAAGAAATAAAAACAATTTTTAGACTTACATTAATTGCTTATACAAATTAAGACATTTTGCCTTGAGGCAAAACGGGTGAGNGGGTGCGGGTCGCCTTCCCCCCCCCCCTCGGTGAATAAATCTTCAAAGATTTCCTGCTTACTGAACTGTGTTAACATACAACAATTGAAGATGTACATTGTACAGCAAACTTTACCTGCGTTGGTTACTTTAGTAGAGTACGGGCACTCGGGACAATTCCAAATAAACATCTGAGGAGCACTGGACACTGTTGCAGTACAGTACAGCAGGCACACAAGAGCAGGGACACTGTACGGTGTCATACTAAACATAATCTTATATAGCTATGTATAGTACAGCTGGATAATGGGTTACCCACTCAGATGCGAACTGTACGGATTTCAAACAGTCTTGTTTTGTATAACATAAGCATTTACTGTACTATGACAAGACTATCTTCAAGACCAAAGGAATTGAGCTTTTGTCAAAAACTCAAATTTACTAACCACTATATCTTTGCAACCTGGTGGTGTCAACCTTTGATATTTAATCTAACATAATTCATAGTTAGAAATATTTAAGGTCTACGACATTGGGTTGTAAAGAAATAAGGTCTAGAAAGTAAGAGTTTGTGGCAAAAAATCAATTCCTTTATCCGATCGTTGTTTTCAAATATTCTGAGGCCGTTATTTTACTCACATCCTAAAAAGACTAATAAGCTAATGAAGCCATATTCCGATATTTTCAATTCTCTTTCTTCAATTTAAGACATATTTGTCTATACTCTATAGATTGTTCTGTAGATTCGCACAGCTAAACTCAGTGTCAGGACGTTTTATGTAAAGAACTGTTTACATATTGTTAAATGATCCAAGTTATGAATCAAATATGCCAATTTATAATTAGCAAGTTCCTTGAAATTATGTCTACTGTCCCATAAGAAATATCAGAATATATAGTTTTAGTGTTATATTGCATGAAAATACAGATATATTACCTCAGACCACTGTGATGTAAGTACTAAAGGATTAGATGGTGCACACCAACTAACAACTAAATGTTTAGAAACCTAGGCATATTGCCTGGAACCCCAGAAGTATTGCCTAGAAACCATCCAAAGATGAGCAGAATGCATGGATAAAAAGATAGAAATATAGAGAGAGAACAAACACTCCTTTCTTCCCAAGGTTACGGTGCATCTTTTTACAGCTCTCCAAACTAGGGATGAAACGATAATTTATTTCAAAAATTATTTTTCGAAATAGTTATTAAAAAGAACATGAAAACGTATCAAAACCGGAAAAGAAAAATGGAAAAAGTACAGAGGAATACTGGTTCTGTATCTGTATCTGTATATGTGTCTGTATCTGTATCTGTATATGTATCTGTATCTGTATCTGTATCTGTATCTGTAT